GTTCTAGTTTCTTCATGTGATTTTTGTTGAAAAGGGATAAAGAGGCTTTGTTTATGCAATGACTTATTACTGGACATGAGAAGAGAGGTATCATCCAGAGGGAGACTGGATCCAAGAAAGTTATGCTTTTTGTATGATGGGACTACGAAGAAATGGCATACTATGAATTGCTGCCACCAAATCAGACAATAAGTTAAAATATTGTTGAAAAAGTTCTGTTCCTGTTGGCAGTTTTAAAAGCAGAAATCAAAGCAAAGCACCCAGAACTGACCAGTCTTCAAAGTGTTGTCTACAATCATGAGTGCTTGATCCCACATTCTGATGAATGTCAGACTTACTGAGTATGGCTGGGATGTTTGACAGTGAAATACTCAGCCCCAACCAAATTTTATCTGTTCATGTCATTTGAAAATTCTGTGAATAGCGTGGAGTTTACTTTTAAAAGTGTCAACTCTCCTCAATAACTTCTTTGTGAGTAAACCAAATTACTTAAAAAAAATTTTTTTTTTCCAGCTGCCAGAGAGATGGCTAGAAGTTAATGGTAAACACTACCCAAATTTGAAACTGCAACACCAAGAAGTGGTGAGAAAGTGATGAAACTCGGCAAACAGAGAGAGACAGCAACAAACACTAAGTGATCTTTATTTTGAAATGATATGCATAATGCAGAGCCAGAACAGCATCAGCTCAGCAGGTTGAAGGACCATCTTGGACAGCAATATACGAAGCAACATGTCTTAAGTACAGAGTCAATGAGACTATGGATAGTGTCCTGAGGAATGATCTTCATTCTCTGTCAACCATTTTTATTTGTAGGGTATTCCACAGTTGCTGCCTTATTGGTCAATGGCAGTTTTCATAACAGATGCCATGAGGCCACTAGCCACCTATCAACAGCCAATGCTTTGAGCTTGCTGCAGAATGGAAGTAGATATGGCTTGCAGGTGTGCCACTACTTTTCGGCAAAGCGTCGATCCACATGTGCTCACATCACTCTGGCTGCACAAGCACCCCTCGAACTTACCACATTTCCTTGTTCCAACCATCATCGCCACAGCTGTTGCACTGTGGACGTGTCCAGGTATGTAGTCAGCTGAGATTTGCCGTATGGACCAACCTGCCCTTCTCCTCACTATGCCCCTCATAAAATTGTTGTCTGCTGGAACTGCCTCCGTAGACGACTGCCTTTCATTTTCTGTTATTACGAGGCGTATTCGGAAACTAAGTACCGTTTTGGGAAAAAAAAAAAAAAATAGTAAAACAATTTTTTCGAATCCAATTTTATTTTTACATGAAAATACATGTCTTAAACTATTTTTCAACATGTTTCTCCATGATCAACATTTGTTTAACGGGTGACCAGTTTTTGTATACCATCATCAAAGAAACTTCCCGCCAGTTTCGAAACCATGACTCCACAGCATTTTTCGTGTCATCATCAGATCCAAGCGCCTGCCACACTTGCGCTTCATGTGCAGAACACGTGATAGTCGGACGGTGCCAGTCCGTGCTGTATGGGGTGATCGAACTGCTCCAATGAAACTGTCGATTAACGATTGAGTGACACCAGCATAAGGCCAAGCAGTGTCATGAAGCAACACAATTCCTTTACTGAGTCATTCCTCTTCGTTTGCTTTGAATGGGACACCTTAGTTTTGTTAAGTCTCACAATAATCATGCCGCATTAATGGTTTCACCTCTGGAAGAAATTCAGTAAGCGAAACGCCTTTCTGTCCCAGAAGATGGTGCACATGATTTTTTTTTAATGACATTGTCACTGTTGAACTTTTTTTTTTCGGAGAATGAGTGTGTCTCCACTCCATCGATTGTTGTTTTGATTCTGGTGTGAAATGACATACCCAAGTTTCATCACCTGTCCAATTTGGTTTAAAACGTTTTCTCCTCATCACGTACCGCGTGAGAAATGTCAGGGCACTACCAAGTCGCTTTGTTTTGTGAACATCACTGAGCATTTTGGAAACCTCGGAACACAGTTTGCTAATAAGCGGTCAGGACACAATTTCGAACAAAACAGTACGTGAAATTTGTGGAAATGCCCTGAAAGAGTTGTCATTGTGAGCGTCTGTTCTCATGAATTGCTTCATCAACTTTCCTTACCAAATCATCGGTGACAACAGAAGGCCGACTCGGCGTGGACATTTGTTCGACCTGCATTAAACATTCTTACCTACTTTCTCAACCATTCATCACTTATCGCTATTCACCGTAAACTTCTGTCACTTGACGATAAATTTCGGCCGGTTTAACATTCCTCGCGTTCAAAAATTTAATCACGGCACGAATCTCACAGTCAGGGGGAGAACTAATTGTCTTAAACATTTTGAATGTGCACAGCAAACTGAAAACACAACATAGAGCAACCAAAATGGCAACAATTGAAGGTCAGTGAACAAGAAAAACTAGTGCGCATGCCCTGGATGCCTACCACAGCGCTGCGACGGCGCTAGAATGAAACGGTACTTAGTTTCCGAATACGCTACGTATATGCATCCTTTGAGAAAAGAACAAATTTCCTACGATTATTTCCCTAGCAGAAATAACATCATGAAAAGTGAACATTATGCAGTGAACATTATGCCCTTGTATATTCTTCAGTGTGTGCTGGAGAGCTGTTAATTTCACATCATTTGCATAACTCGGAGACGTATGTTTATTGTGAAATTTTCGGGCCACAACTTCTTGGTGTTGCATTTTCTATGTCGGGTAGTGTATTTACTTTATTCAATGAAATTCTCATTTCTTTTTATACTGCATCATTTGTATTCACCATTCAAATGTTTCAAAAATTTCTGGATGACCCTCTATTTTTGATTGTGATAACTTTGCAGAATAGGAGCACTTAATGTCTGTCAGTTTGAAAGTCTTATAAGGAGGTTAGTAGTAGATGAAGACAAGTTACTATACCCTTGTATTTTAATGTATAAAGTGCTTTTGATCAAAATTAAGATAAATATATAATCCTTTTGTGCTTTTGGTATGTATTGGGTCATCTTTAAAGTTCTGCAGTTTTTTGATAAACTAGCCACTTGTGGCCAACTGCCTAAAAGAGTCATCATAAAACAGAGAAAATATGTAATGATTTTAATGAGACCCTTGACTATAATTTCATAAAAGTATTTAATATTTCGGAACTTTTCCGTTTTGCCGGCGCAAATCTCGCCAAGCAGGCTTTATTGGCGACAACACACAGTATACACATAAAAACTGCTAACAAATATTAGTTCTAAGAATATTTTATTTTGAAGGCATAAACATTTTAATATCGATTAAAATTTTGTAAAAAGGCATTAATTTAAGAATTTACTATGTTTTTATGGTACAACATCCTGATTCTCCGGTTCGGTATACGTGACCCCCAAGTGATCTCATCTCAGGTAAACTAAAATACAAAAATCTAATTCTCTCTGTAATTATCTACATTAATTTCGAGTTAAATTTTAATTTGGAACACAAGTTTAAATGCAACAATTATTTCAATTCGTACAAATAGCTTACTCAGAAATTCTGTAAAACCGCAGCGCTTTACTTCCCTAGTGCATTTTCATTAGAATTGATGAATTTAACTCTTTACTTTGCCTTTTCTATATTTTCGCCTTAGGGTGAGCGGTGTGATTGCATCCTAATTAACTTAATTACTGCGAATGGCTTCAGGGCATAAAATTGAACTATCTGGTAAAATTTCTATGTAATTGTATGCCATTACTGAAAGAAACAATCAATCTGATAAGAAATGGCTGCGACTTCTTTAAGGCATAGAATGTTATCAGAGAGGATATTCTGTTTGGCATCGGTTGTACCATTTTTGGCAACTTTATCACCTGTGCCGGCAAACTGGAAAAGTACCAATATTTCTAATGAGGCGTCTCCTAATTTAAAAACATTTTTATTTAAATCAGTTGGATCAAAAAGTAGAAAAAATATACTTAAGAACTGTGTTTATTGCTTTGAAATCTCTTGGTTTGTCAATCAGTAATGGGAAGGTTAAATTTGAACATTAAATAGGTTATGCTTTACTGAATGGCAACATGCTGGTACATGTCAGATAAAGATATTTTATTTCTGGCAGTGGCAATGTATTGCTTTTAAATGGTTGGGTTTATTGATTAAAATTGAAAGATAAATGTAAGATTTAAATATCTTACATTTAGCCGAAAGGCCACAGTGTGAAGTTGTAGACCTTTGGCCTGACTACCCTGATGGACTCAAATAATGATGAGATGCTGATAGCCTTTCCATCTTATGTATTAGTTTGCACCATCTTCGCTGTCAACATCTGATGATTCAGCTTAATACACCATCAATGGTACATTTGCCTCTGACATTTTGAGTATACTTCTGCATCTTGAAGGATGAGATTGCACTGTACGTACAATCTTTTTTTTTTTTTTACCAGGCTATGCATTTTTCATATCATTTTTGTTTTTTGCTGTGTATGTTGATATTATTTTAATTTCATATGTTGTTCGATATTATTTTTGAGTTAAGGGTATTTATTGTGCTTGTAGGTGGCAAAAATTTTTCCTGATGTGAATAATTACTTCTTAACGTTGCAATTTTCATGTAACAAAATATTTCATGAAATTTTTTGCTGTCTACACGTTTCTTCATAATCAGAATTTTTCATAATTGTGGGAGGGTCTGTAGCTGTTTGAATTGTAATGATATTTGATTAACCTAGGAAAAAAAAAAGGAGAGGTTTTATGTAAATAAAAATTTTGTTACTAATCTGCGTTAATAAAATTAGAGTAAATAATTCATTGTTTGCTTGTCGCTGATATACTCTACCTTCCCAATAAGTGATATTATTATTTTTTATGTGGAGAGGATTTTAATTGTCTGAAAATTTATGTTACTTTTGTTAAATTTTTTATTTTCAGGAAATTTTGTTATAAGCTTTTAGATGAATTTTAGAATATACAATTTTATGAATTATGATTTTTATATTTTGAGTATTTCACATATATTTAATTTCATATTAGGCTCTTGAACTGTACCCAAAGACTCCATTGGGTCATAAAGACATTTTCAATGTCATTAGGGTCAAAGGATTGAAAGATGTAAGGTGAGTAGCATTACTTTATTTCCACAGAGAATTATTGCATAATATATAGCAGGCATGTCTAAACTGCTGCTCCTTGGCTTTTAATTATGACTTATATCGAAACAGTGGTTTTATTTCTTTAAATAGCATCCAGACTTGAACATTTTTTAACAATCAATAATTTCAGTTTTTTAAACTACATTATATAATAATAATTCTGGAAGTTTCAAACTGTTGCTCAAAGTGTGCAATTCTGCAATTTACTACCATGGAGATACTAATTTTAGAATAGGTAAAGTCTCTCAGGATGGAAGAAAAGAAAAATATATTAGCAACAAGCTGTATTGATGATTTGCACAAGAAAAGGGGGTGACAATTCTAAATCTACCATTTTACTGGGCCGATTGATGAAACTTAACTTGCGTTTTTCATGTCTTGAAAGTTTGGATTAGGATATACTATATTAAATTTATAAGTAGCATTGTTGTAACAAAGGTATTTTGACACAAAATCAAACTTTTTCTGAAATGACATCAGAGTCGTGTCTACATATTTTTTCACCTGAGGCAAAGCAGTAAATGTGCACCCCTGTATACAATGCAAGATTATTTATTTAACTATTTGTGTGTGTGTATGTGTGGGTGGGGGGAATAAATAATACTAAATGATGTTTGAAAACATAACATTATATAAACACGCGCAATTTTCAGACTTTCTAATTATCTGGTTCAACGCAAAATCATCAATGATTGTAAAGTTTACTTCCTAGCTGTAGACACTATACCAATAGTTGCATTTAAATATCAAAGGACCTTAAGCAACTTGCTAACTAACCACCATGAAATAGATGAGTCAGCAGAATGATATTGCAAGACACCATTTACAGTACTTACACATAGATTCTCATCACCAGCACATAATTACTGGCAACCTGAATATCATACAAAACCATCACTAAAACACTAATGAGTTATGGTACAAAATTTAGACCAGTCAGAAACATGACTAAAAATTACTGTTACAAGACTTTCGAAAACAACATCAACGAATTTATAGTTTAAAGCAAGCTATATCAACTGAATTTACCTATAGATACCTTTTTAAAATGGAAAGCTAAAATTCTTCAATGGCATATCCACCTGAAATCATCACCTCAAGTTTAAAAGTACACTGAATTGGTTGCAACTTACATCAGATATTAAAATCAAAAAAAAAAAAAAAAAAAAAAAAAAAAAAAAAGCTTTTTACTATTACAAAATAGATAAAGCAAATAAACTTTAGCATTATATGAAAATAATTCTACGCAGATTATTCATAAAAAACTTCTCAACGCAACTACTTATCAATTAGCCAAACCTTACAGAAACATCTATAATAAACAGAATTAAAACTTTTCATAAAAAACTAAATATTACTTTCAATCCATCCAACTACAACAGATTTACTAATCTTCTACGCTCTTCCCAAATTCCATAAAACACCATTAAAATTCAGATTTATAGCTAATGGAACTAATAATTACAAGAAAAATGTAGACTATTATTTTTCAATTCAACTTAAAAAAATCTGTAAATTTATTTTCAACGATTGTAACACTAATCATAACTATTGCTGGATCATCCATAATAACACTCCTGTCATTAATGCCATTCAAACAATTAACATCCAAAACATTAACTGCTATGACTTTGAAAACTTATATACCTCACTTCCTCTAGAAGAAATCTATGCTAGTCTACTAGATCTCCCTAAACTCTTCCCTGATATGCTCACGATTATGAATCTTAACAAATGGAAAACCTACCTAAAATGCACACTTTTTCATAACTACATGAAAAATGTTTCAAAATCACATGTTTCAAAATCAACTTTTTAAACAAGTCAGAGGATCTTCCATGGAATCCCATTCCAGCACCTCGCTCTGTAATCTTTTTATTTATCAAAGAATTTAACTTCCAAAAAAATCTACAACCACAAGAATTAAATTACTACAAGCACACCTACAGATATTGATGACCTTATTACAATTAATAATTTTAATAAAATTGAAACTCCGAGATTTATCCGAATTGTCTTAACACTTAATAAAACTAATAATTCACAAAATAGCATAGACTATCTCAGATCTTCAAATCATTAACTACAAAAAAATTTTACTTTTTGACAAAACAAGAAACTTCAGTTTCAATACTAACAAATTAATAAATTGGAACTCCAACATATCCAAAAAAGTAATTAACAATACTATAATTAAATCAAATACAACGAATTAAAATATATGCACAGATACAATAGATCTACAACGCGAAATTTTGCTCCTTATTAAAATTCTCAAAAATAATCTAATACCCTTTCAATTTATCAACCATTGCCTTAAAAGAGCAGGCGTTAAATACTCACTCTAAATCATTTACTGATAGGGATATGATAATTTGTTCCTAAACCTGAGAAGGGCGTATAATTTGGATGATAGTTGAAATTGATAAATTCTGTATATAATTGTAAAAAGCTAATTGTCTTCAGACTTATGGACTGTTACTAAAAAAAATGGGCCTATTTCATAATCTTTAGTCTGTGAAATAGCTCTTGGACAGTGAAATGCCTTTTTTCCTTTCTTAATTCTTAATCATTGCGACACAACAATTAACCAGAAATTAATTAATTTCCATTCACTAGTATTTTAAAAAAATTTTAACAGACGGTCTCTCTCAAATAAACTCCACATACGTCCCTCAAGAATTCCAAGTCCCCTCCCATAAACTTACTTCACCCAAGTTTCACCGACTGAATTCAAAGCCCCCTGCAATAAAGAATTTCGAAACCCAACACTTCTGAGTCAGACGTGAAGAAAACACTTTGCCCCCTTCCCACTAGAAAGAACATAATTATTAATTCTTTTTTCTGGCTTTTTTATATCTTCCATATAGTTCATGTACATTCCCTTTTCTTATTATATGTATTTTAAATTTAATTTTTATTTTTTGATTTGTTTTTGCAAAGATTGCATTATATTTCTTATTTTCGTAATTTTCTGTTTTATTTCAATTAATCATACTTTGAGTTCTATTTCATAATACAATTTCCAATGTTTAATTTTTTACAAATAGTTTTGAATTAAAATGCATAAACACAGTGTCGGGGACAATTACTCAATATTTATCAATTTTAAGCGCAAATTGCTTTTCACTCAAAATTGAATTAGCAAAAATGCTTAATCAGAATGAGTTCTTTAGGGACCTGCATTGGTTCTTGATCCCTTCAATTCATGGAAATATTTGGCCTAACTTAAATTGCCAGTTCGGCATCGCTTTATTACTTGAGTAAAGAACGAAACACCTTTGTATTTCTTTCTTAATTATTGTTCTTTCAACGGGAGTTGGTTTGTTCCCCTTGAAAAGTCAATTAATTTCCGATCGATGGCAATGATTACTTGCTTTTAATTTAATTTCTTTTTACAATTGAAATTGTGTTATTCATGATTTAATTCAAGTCCCCCTTAAACATTTTTAACAATTTCTTCAAGTTACTTTTTAAACAATTTTCGAATTAAACTTACTCACTATGGATTCACTCTTTTTTAGATAATTCTACTAAATTAAACTTAGATAATATAATCAATATTTCTTTAGTAAATACATTATTGCACACATATACATATAATCATACATATAGAGCAAATTAACTGTGTTTATATATATTTTATGCTCATTAAAAGTAACTATTTCAAGGGAAAATACAATAACTCTTACAGTAATAATTAATTGCAACTTTGTATATTCCACAAAGTGAAACATATATAATGATTAACAATTTTGAAATGGAAATTAAAAATATGCTTTTTGAAAATTATCAAATAATATAAAGTAGTATAAATAAAACATCTGCTCAAAAATTTATGAAAAACTTTTCAAGCATATTTATAATATAATTTTTCTTGCTTTTAAAGAAGCAAAAATCATCAGTAATTTTTTCAGAATCTATTTGATTACTTAACTCATGTTCTGTAGAGAGAATGAACATGTTTGAAAGTTTTTCTTGGCCTAGTGAAGATCACATATAGTTCTTTATTATTTTAAGTTTGCTAGAGCTTTCCCCACTAGCTACAGTAACTGGCAATGTTAAAAAAATTCTTAAATTCTTAATGCTGCTTCTAAATTTGTATAGAACTGAACAAATTGTGAATTATTTAAAAAAGTTCTAAGCTTGTAGCTGCTTTTGTGTCCTGAAATATTGAAATAGCAGGGCTTTTAAAACTAGAAATGAAACAATCCATACAGTTACCAGCGAGATGAGTATGAATGCAAGCCCAAAACTTCGATTCATGGGCCTACTTTATTTGAAAAACTAATTATATGGTACATTTCATTTTCAATCATCCTTGTTTATTCTTCAGATGCTATTTCAGAAGGCGGATGCTATTCAGGAAGGTGTTTATGAAATTGCAAAACTCGGCAGTTGTTGCAGTCTATGTTCAGTTAGTGGACTTTGGCAAGTTTCTTTTTATTGTTATGACTAAATAAAGAGTGTAAGTTAACCCCTTGGGTACTTTTGACGTCTGAGACACATCATTCACTTTTTTCCCCCTAGGAGTGGATGACGTGTCTAAGACGTCAAAGCAAAAATTAAACTCTTTGGTACATTTGACGTCTGAGAGACGTCATTCACTTGTTTTCCCTAGGAGCGGATGACGTGTCTAAAATGTTATTTGAGGTTAGGCACAATTCTGTTCATTTCATTGTAGCTTGTATCAGTCATAATAGAAGAGGAAATTACTGTATTTCGGTGAACATTATTTGCGATACACTGCCCCATTATGTCAAAAACAAGGAATATATTTTATGATAGTGATAGCGAAAGTGACTTGAGAAAGAAGAATTGTTTAGTTATCCTGAAATTGACAATTACAATGAAATATAAAGCGAAGGTGATGAGACGATATTGAACTAGAAAATGATGACAATTGTAATATAATATCAAGGTTTCGAAGACGCACAAGACGTCTATCGAGCAGTGATAGTGAA